TATTTTAATATAAAAATAAAAATTATTTCTTATTAAAATCATAAATTTTTATATAGAGAGAAAATTTCAATTTTCACAATGTTTATTAGTAAATTTAGTCTCTGAGTCATTACTTTTGGTCATCACTGTACATAAATTTAATATTATTATTTTTATGATAATATTATTAATATTTTTTTAATATTACTAATCTTAACTTTTTCTTTTAATTAATATTTTTTATATAATAATCTGACTTTTATAATCATAAATTTTCTTTTTTATAATTATTTTCTTTCTGATTATTATTGCTTTATTAATATGATCCTTTAGTTTGATTCAATTTTATCAGAATAGATCTATTACTATTATAATTATATATTAATTAAGGTATTTTAAATATAAGCTTTCTATATACTTACTCTTTTTTCTTTGACTTGAAAATTAATCAATAATAAAGAATCATTTTTTTATAAATTTCAAAGATTTTTTTAATTGTAATTAATTAATAATTGAAAAACTTAAAAAAAAAGATTATAAAAAATGTGATTATAAAGAAGTGTGAAAATAAAAAGTTCTAACTATAATTTCAATTATATATATAATTTAATATCTTTACCAGTCAATTCATCATATTTATATAAATATAATAATAATTAAATATATAAAATATAAATAAAATAGATAATAACAAAATAATTAATATTGTTTATTATTTCATTGATATTATTATAACTAATTCTTTTCAATAGCAATATGTAAAAATATTTATTGATAATTTATAATTTAATAATATTTGGTATTTAAAGAAATATTCATAAATTGTCTCATGTTTTTAAATATTATACATATTAATACTCGATTAACTTTTACTTTTCATAATAAGAATGCATAGATTTTGGATCAGCCCGAAAACGACTAATGAAGAGGATCTCAACTCTAATCCATACCCTTGGCACAGAATTGAGGATTAAATGCTTTGATGTCTGTATTTTATTTTTCGTTTTTTTTTGTTGATATTAGGTCTAAATAAAACATTTAAATTGCTTTATCATTTATTCTTATCAGTTTGGTGTTTCTGTTTATTGCTGTGGTAAGTCAAATAATCATTCTGGCACCCAAGATACAGTTTACGTTGCAGCATGCCATATGACGTCATTAATGATTCGGTGTTATCATTCTGGTTATGTCGTTGGTTCCTCCTCTATCTTTGCACTAGATCAAAAAATCGATCTTTCAAAATGGAACCCGCTGATGTCGAAACTTCTGGTGAGTATCTTTTTTTCCGTTTGTTTGAACTTGCAATAGCAAACCTAGTGACAGTGAACCAAATTACTGCCACTTGAAGTGCCGACATCGTTGCCGCTTTGAGCTTAAATGTGGTTAACGGTATTTTGAAAATTCTCATAGACGAGTTCAAGCGGAAACGAGAGCGTGAGACGTCCAATGAATTACAAGTGCCCGAAGCTGCAGCCAAAGTATCTTAGCCGAAAATTCAAAACCATCCATTTTATTTGGCATTTTGAATTGAATTTCTTTCGAATTTTAACCATTGAGCTTTAATTCGTTCTATATAGAACTCGAATGATGAAGATGAAGAAACGATAGCAGTTCCGGCTAAAAAGACGTGAGTTTTATTATAGATAAATATAAATTGGCATAGATGCGAGATTGATTGATTATTTTTTGGTTCAATTAGGCGCCATGACACAGCTTTAGAGGAAAGAAATAAAAGAGAAGGATCAGAAGCTCCTGTTCGAGCACTGGCACAAAAAGTAGAAACATTGAAAGTTGAGGGTAGCTTTGATATTCTTGAAGAGGATTCATCTGAAATTAAAGATAATATTACAGAGGCGCAACCCATGATCATTTCCAATGATCTGGGTCCTGCTGCTTCTAAAAAACGCCAAGCAAGTGAACATCTTATAGAAAATGATTCCGATCAGACGAAGATCATAAGTAATACACCACGAAAGCTTTCACGCACTAATTCCGATGAAAAAAAAACCCAAGTTGAAAATACGGAGAAAGTTGCAACTATAAAAGAGAAAAATCAAACTGACAAAGAAGACTCTCAAAATAATGACACATCACCGGAAAATACATTAGAATCGAATGAATCTAAGACAAACGCTGCTTGTCCAGAAAAATCACCGTCCCCTGCAACAAAAATACCTCAGGGTGGCAATGCTTTCCCTAAACTTTCCATTCCTACTAATCCAACGTCGATTTTCGGAACTACAACTTCACTTTCAAGATCAACTGTAAGTGTAAAATCATATCTTATGGTTCTAAAGCAAATTTCTTTTTGTCACATAAAATTTTCGGCATTTTCAATTAGTCTTTTGGAGTCACAAGCCAGCTGGCTATATCACCAACCTCAAACTCTTCCTTTGCAACGATAACTTCACCCAGTACTTTTAAAGCTTTCGGATCAACAAGTTTTAGTTCCTCTTCGTTGTCCCCGTCAACCTCAAGTCCCAAGACCACAACACCATTTTTAAGGTTTGGTGTGCCAGACGCAAAATCTGAAAAGTCATTCAGTGCATTGCTTGCAACATCACCAACCACCGCAACTAATGAACATCATTCTAAAGATAAGGAAGGAGAAATATTTGGAACCTCTTCAAAACCATTACTTTTAGAAAAAGAAGGTATAATAATTAAAATAGATGATTTCTATTGGTCGTCGTTCATCGTTAAATTATTTATGTATCATAACCCCGAAAAGTTAAGACAGGGGAAGAGGATGAAGATACCCTGTTTGCATCGAGAGCCAAATTATATTGGATGGATGAACAACATAACTGGAAAGAACGTGGTGTTGGACAAATCAAACTCAATGTAAAATCAAACACCATGAAATCTCCACGTCTCGGTATTTTGGTTTATTTGTGACTAGTGTATATTCGTGTTATCTATATGAAAGTTAACTAGACATTATTTCGTGTATAGTAATGAGAGCCGACGTTGTTTTTCGCCTTATACTCAATGTCTCACTATTTGAGAAAATGCCAGTTCAACTTGCACAAGAAAATTTTGTGCGCATAACGGCTATTGAGGATAATAAACCTGTCACATATGCAATTAAGGTAGTTTTTTCAGCAATTTCGAGTTCTTGTATTATTCTTTTAAATTAATATCGAGATATCTTGCCGGGATTATTAAATAGTTAAATAATGCGAATGTAGCTCAAGAGCTTTACGAGGCGATATTAAGCTGCATAAAAGTATCACAATCGTCAAGTAAATCATCTTTAGAAAAATCGAAAACCGAAGAAACTTCCACCACCACCACGACGACGACGACAACAACTAATACTACTGAAAAAGATGAACAGCCGCAACCCGATGAAAAGCTGCTACCCAATGAAAAGTTGCAGCCCGATGAAAAGTTGCAACCCGATGAAAAGTTGCAACCATCACAACTAAATTCACATCAAGTTAAAGAACAAGGACAATCATAATTTGAATTAATTCATCTATTATTTGTAATTTATTATTATATCGATATAAAATCGATAGTTTGTTGAATTAATTAGGATCGTGAAAGAATTTTATTTATTTATTTGTATTTCATTTAGCGTTAGATAAATGAATCAAAGGATAACGAGACTTGTGTGATCTGGTGCGTGTAAAATAGTAGCACAGAAATATCATGGGCGTATGCATAGAATATAATCGTTTTTTGGAAATTCTCTTAGCCAATTTTGGAACTCGCAACTTTTCTCTAAACTTTTCGTAATAACAAAGGCTCGATGGTAACCAATTTAGTGGAAGTTCAAAAAGAGACGACACATCGGCCAAAACAAAGTGTTAATTTACCCACAACCTCGTCATTAGAGTCTGCTTTAACTACCCTAGAGTCGAAAAGTCCCGTCAATTTAACACCGATTACCAATTTCTTTCGACAAGAATTTATATCACGTTTTGCGGTAATTGAGAACTGGTATGCTAGCACTTGGTTGCATAGACAACTGGTGCGTCTCGGCATACCAGAACTTTACTTGTCAGTCACGATTGCCATAAGTATACTGATGGTCACGCGACACCTTTACAAAAGATCTCTTTATCTTTTTTCCAACTTGGTGGGAGTTGTATATCCTGCTTGTCGCTCGATAAAGGTCTTGGACGAAGTGACGGCAAATCAAATGGATAATGCAGAAAATATCGCTGAGCAAAAGCAATGGCTCACTTATTGGACCATTTATGGGTGTATTCAAATCGTTGACAATTGGTCGAAATGGTTCTTGGAATTGTTCCCAGGATATAATTTTTTCAAATTAGTCTTTTTATATTGGGCGCAACATGACCGATCCAAAGGAGCCAGTGTTATTTTCGAGCATGTTATTAAACCTCTGATACATAATCCATCATCGAATGTAAAGAGAGAAATGAAAGCAAGACAACGACAACGACAAAATCCACAAGATCAGATACGAAAATCCCTGGAAAATATTTCTTCTAATGTGGTTCCTGCAGCTTCAGGTGGGGTTAATGGTGGTGGGGCGTCGGTTCCTGGTACTATTACCCCTCCTTCTTATCCTGAAACTTCCTCTGAAGAAATAGATATTTGGCAGCGTGGCTATTCTGAAGTAAATGAGGGTGAGGTGAAGCCTTATAGGTTGAATAATGATCTGTAATTATTCCAATGTTTTTTATTATATCAAACATCTAGCAATTGAAAATTCATTAATTGATGTAATGAAAATTCATTAATTGATGTAAAGAAAATTCACGTTTAAATTGTTTATTTCTATTAAAAATTTCACGTAAAATATTAATAAAAAAAAAAGGGGGGGGGGGGGGGGGAGATAGTATTAACATAGCAAAACATCTATAATTGCCTTCTAATTATTAAAGATAGTATATAGAATATTGTATTATTTTCAACGTCGTCTTCCACCACCACCACCACCGCCACCACCGCCGCCGCCGCGCCTTACATTTGTTCGATAAAAAACAGACGGTTGATCTAATTCCATTAAGCTTTGCTGCTGTAAATTTCTACGTAAATGATTCACAACTCTATCCTTAACCCAATTTCGGTCACGCGGCATGTATGCTTTTAAGTTCGTGTCATACACGAGCGCGCTGAATTCTTGATGCTCATCAATAAAGGACAATAGTTGATCGACGGAATAATTTATATGTGGAAGATTCGGATATTGTTCGGCTAATCGAGCTTCGTGCATCGCAATGATCGCTGAATTAGAGAAAGTATCAAAGAGATCAACAATAAAAGTGGGAGCTGGCTGAATAATTATTAAAAAAAAAAGAAATTGGGATTTGTTGGCAATTGCAATCTTTCTTTTGTTTCATGCATTAATCGCCCAAACAACCTTTTGTTCTTAATGACATGACGATAAATGCAAATAAATGATGCTTAATAAAAATGATGATCTTTATTGTCATATAAAAAACTATATACAGTTCAGAAAAAATGATAGCATCTTTTTCATTTGAACTACTCTCATTTCACTATTTCTTATGCTGTTCCAAATTGAAAATATTTACCTTCTGTTGCCGATGCAACTGTAGCGTAATCAAACCATGTTCGAGTACTACGGTTGCTTGTCTTTTGAATCAAAAGAATAGTGTGTACCGTCTATTTTTAATCAAACAAATTCATTTATTCTTAATTTCTTGCAAATGTATATTTCTTGTAATCTATATAAATTAGTGAACAAAAGGACTTTTTTTTACCATTGTGAATAGGGAAAGCAACAACACATAAACAGTTAAAATTTCTGCATTTTATATTTGACCACTTGACCACAAAATATTTCGTCAAAAGTACAAACACGTGTGTTTTACATGAATATCTTATACTATAAGAGGTTCTATTCAAGTGAAAAAAAAGACATCAACGATAAAATGCTGCATGTTGTTATGTTGCAAACGTGAAATTTGATCATCCTTGAATGAAAAGTTTTGGCCTCTCAATCAAAAAATTGGTAACCACGCACGCGCACAAAATAACGTTTCACTTCAGCAAACGGTGCGACCTTATTAATAAAATTTGACATCCGTCTTTTCCTATTTATACTCACACTTATCATGAATAATCTTAAGCGGGTTTTTTCCCTTAAAATTAATAGCATTTGTCTTTTCATAGTTTATCTTGGGTAAAGTTACATCCCCCTTTTTTTTGCCCAGTTCTTAAGGTAGCGAAGAGGATAAACTAATTACTCCTCTTTTATTAAAGTTTAGGAGAGGAAAGAACGCGAAGATGGCAATTTTTTCTCGTCAATTTCTAATTTATTTAATTTCTACCATATTAATTGCTCAATGTGCTTTTTCGTTTGAAAGTCGAGAAGCTGCTATCAATGTTTTTAATCGTCGAGATACTAATGGAACCTTGTTGTGCAATGGCAATGCGGACATTTGTGATTTGCGCTTTAATCAAGTTGTTAGTATATTTACGCGTCAATTTGATTCTTGGCATTAGGAATTTACATGAACATATATTTCTGAACTCGAATCCATCTTTCAATAGACGCACGCAGGCACCCATAATAGTATGGCGTATAATCTTCACTTCGATTGTCAAAATACCGTGCGGAATTGTCTCGATTCCACGAGTATTTGTTTAAAGCAACACACAGATTGTTTAGCTTCCTATGAGGTACATTGCGAAGCTTCAACCGACATTTGCAAACAACGTAATCCCAAGCTATTACATTGGATGTGTGATGGCTTTAATGCAATATGTAAAAGATCCGATGCCGCAATTTGTTCTGCATGGCTTGCCTTATGTACTGACAGCTCGAAGGTGTGTAATGTCTGGGGAGAAGCATGCGAAGATACGGTCCCAGACTGGGTGATTGAATGTTTTTGGGAAAATCATCCTGGTCATGATATACCTACCCAATTAAGAGATGGTAAATATATATGCGTGTATGCATGCACGTAAAATACAATTTGTACTCAATTTTTTATTTCTATTTTAGGTATCCGATTATTGGATCTGGACACATGTCAAGTAGAAGATAAGGTAGTGTTGTGTCATGGAATGGGATTAGCACGAGCACTTGGCGATGAACTTGATCTGGTATTTAAACAAATCCGCAATTTTATGGTGGCAAATCCCAATGAGGTTATCTCCCTGGAATTTGGTGATATTGATGGAAATGCGACATTAATGGGTGATTACATTCAAAAGAAATTGGAACAATATTTTGTTAATGAAACTGGACACTCGATGCTCTTCTCACTATCATTAAACAATAACACTTGGCCCACTCTACGCCAAATGATTGAGACGGATCAACGAATAATTATTTGGTACAGTTACCTTTATGATTCGACCCCAAATCGTCGACCATGGATTCATAATGTATGGAATTGGTATACCGCCTCTTATTCTTATACCGCTGATGATATGACTGCCGCTCAATTGAACAATAGTTTTACTGAATATTGTGACAATGCAAATGCAAAACAAACCATCAATCATGATATGTTAACATATGGACGTGTACTTTGGCAAACCATGGATCAAACGTAAGTATTGAGAGTATTATTATTATGATTTTTTTTTGCCAATTTTATTTTCTATTTTTCATAACTTTTTTATTATAGGGTGGGACTTGTGTTACCACAAGTAGAAGACGCTATAAAAAACAAAACTAACCCTGGATACATATGCTTGAAACAAATGGCCGAAGCAGTAAACTTTGATTTACTCGATTATGTGGCCAATATATGTTATCCAGCGTTTCCCTATGTCTATCGTGTTCGTTTAGATTGGTATTGGCGTAGTAATCTCTTCGAGGTCGTGAAACGATTCAATGAGATGAATGTGGCGCGAGTGAAAAGTGGAGATATTCTCACTCCGGTATGATGATTATAAGAATCATTATATAGCCTTTTGTTTTTATTATTTAGTGGGGGGGGGGGGCTTTTTTATTCTTCATCTTAATCTTTTTTCCCTAACATTTTGGATTTTTGGTGGATTTTTATTAGAATTATAAAAGATAGTTTTAATTTATTTATGATTACTATTTATTCTTTATGTATATTATTATTATTATTATTGTAATATAATAATTTTTATAGGCTACAGAATTACTGGATGATTCAAGCCGGAATAGGAGGGAACATTTGATGAGACTCGAATATCATCATCGTCATAAAGTACAACAGAAATATCAATATCAACAACAGCAATTACAACGTCATCTTCTACTTGATATCGTTCGTAAACAGAGAACAAAATCTAACAAGTGATTTGTTTTTTTTATGTATTTTTATATATTACAATTTTATGGATAAGAAGTTATTATTATTCTACTCGACGCTTTTTCCACTTTGTCACTTACCAAATAAAGTTCCATATATACACCCCTTTAATCAGATAAAAAGTTTATTAATTAAAAGTATATTCGGCGTGAAAGTTATTACGTTACGCACAAACTTGTGATCGATCGTACGACCCAACATCACTTCATTATTTACCCCATAAGGGATTAAAAAGAAGTAAATTAACAAACCTTAATTAGAAGGAATAAACCTCACAAAGATATATTGCAAGATTAATGTCTTCAAGAAATTTAATAAAGAATATGAAGGAAAAAAACGGAGGAATGATTAAAAGGAAAAGACGACTGGTATAATTCCAAGAAAATAACACGCAAGATCAGCCAAAAGAGTCCCTTAGATAAATGTTCGAACTTCGCTCATCATATGAAAATCTCGCGTTTCAAGGAAAAAAACACGCGCCATAATATTGTTGATCTAAAGAATAATAGTTTTGTCATACATTACGCATTTATTCTCGTGTTGTTTACCCCAAATATAAACTTTTCTAAGGATTATTTCTTTTCTATAAAATTATATATAGATTTTTTCTTTTTTTCTTTTTTTCTTTTGTAGAATATAGAAATTATTATTAATATATTTTAAAGGATATTACAGTATATTACAAAAGGAATGTCACGTACAAGTTCAGACGGCGAAATTCGAATGGAAGATATATGTCCCGCTGGCGGGATACATGACATGGGCTAGTAATGATTATACATTTGGTTAGGAGAGGGGAAAACAAGTTATTTTATATCGAAATTAATCTTGATAATTGATTTTATAGAGAAAAAATGGACATGCTCAGACTATGTTTCTGCTTGTTACTGTTGTCCTTGTTATTTACTAAAGGAGATATTTTGTGGTTGGTGTTATAGGTAAATAAAATATCATTGAGAATAGCTATTTTTGCGATTTCAAACATTCAATTAATGATTGTATATTTAATAATTCTATGAAAGAAATCCCGCTTCTGATGATTTTGACGGTATGTATGTCAAAAGACTATTTGAATGTTATAAGAAATCAAATTTATTAAACTTATTACCTTATCTTGAACAGGAATTGGATGTAGGCCTACAGTAAGTCACATTATCTTCATTATTTAACTTGACTCTCGCAATATAAAATAATTAAAAATTATATTTCTAAAAATTAGGGCCCAGAAACCTGTTCAAAATGCGGACAGACACCTAAGCAAGTAAAAGATGCAGCAGCATTACAAGTATTCAATCAACATCCTGGCGATACTAATCGAATTTCATCAGCACCACAATTACCAGCACTTTCTTACGTTGGCACACCACAAATGAGGCATCCTACATCACAACAACAGGAACAAAGACGAAGTTTTGAAAATAGAAATTTATATGTTGGTGGACAAAATCAGTCTAAGAATAATATAAGTAATAATGGAGGAAGGAAAAGTATGGAAAATCAAAATCACAATACTCGTCGGAATTAAATCGTTATTCCGATTAATCCAAAGAACCAGTAATATGCAAATCGAAGAAAAACTTATGGACTTTTGTTTCTTTGGAATTAATAAACCAATTTTTCATTTACACATTAAAGAACAATATTGAGGAACGCTTACTTTTATATTTTATTAGGCGGACTTCCTTCATGTATTTTCTACATATACTGTGTCCTTAATATAATAGCATTATCCACTATACCCATTTTTTTTTTATATATATATATAATTTTCTCTTGCAAGAATCTTCGAATTCATCAAATAATAATTTCAGTGATACAATATTTATCTACCGTGCGTCCTTTTCATTCACCAAATTGGCTTGAGCATTGCTTGTCGTAATTCTTTATGTCGTAATCAGTACTTCTAAAAAATGTTTGGAATATGACATAAATTTAATCCTAATTTTAGTTAATTATTGATTATCAAGTCTATTATTCATTAATTAATATTAGTTTGATGAGTATAATATATTTAAAATGTAAAATTTCAAAGATGAAATATAATATCATGAACACATTTTAATTATAATATATTTTATTTATTTATTTCTTATTGGTTATTATTATTATATTTTATTGAATAATATTTATTGATTATTTAATTTTAAACATTAACTAGAATAGAATTTTATTAATATTTATCTTAGAATAATGCTAAAAAAACTAAAGTAATTAATAGAACTAAAAGAACTAAAAATTATGTATAAATATAAGTTATATTTTAGTTAGAAAAAATAAGAAATTTAATAAATTAGAAAATATAGAAAATTATGATCTGGTACAAAAAGATTTGTATCTTAATATAAAAATTAATAATTATTTCTAATAAAAATTATTCAAATTTTTATAATTTTTTCATATTAAATAAAAAATAATCTAAATTAATTTTTTATATTATTTTAATTATTGTATTATATTTTAATTCAATAATAAATAAAGCATTACTTTATTAAAAAAACTAAATAAAATTATTTTCATAAAAAAAAGATATTTCAAATATTATTATTATCAATTTATAATATTAAAGCTTTAAATTATGCAAGCAAATTGCTTTAAATTTGATAAATATATATTTTAAATTTCATAAAAGTTTGAATTAATAGTTATAAAAAATATTAAGATTTAAAATTTAATAATTAAATTATTTATTATATAATTTTCATATTAATTTAATCAAATTTTATATAGTAAAATTTAAGAAATAATAATTCAAAAAAGTTATTATTAGTAAAAATTTTTATATTTAAATAAATTTTAATATTT